AGGGATTCGGAAGTTGGTCTCCCCGAAAGCTGTAGTGGGATTGCATTGGAGCTGTGATTGTAGATTTGTGTGAATAAGTCCTCGGCGCTGAGCTTTCATCCAGTTCGGGCTGTTGCAAAATTTTTTCGTCATGCGATATGGCTTATGTGGGTGAGACCTCTAGGCCCATACAGAAAACGTCTGTGGGTACAAAATTCCGAATTGACTGAACAAGTGGCACCAGACAGATTCGTCCAATGCCAAACGCTTAGCTGGACATGGGCACTATGTGAACCAGCAAGCGAAGGCATAGGAAGTTGGCGGCTGAACAGAAAATTGGTCACTTTTCACTTTTGATAAGTTATAACTCTTTTGCTGATGATGGCACGTCTCATTGGCGATGCCGGCGAAACGTTGGGAATGTACCAAGTCAATGGACCAATGCTGGAAATCACGAATACTACGGCAGAAGACACGGGACTAGGTACGTTCCACAAGGTAGCCGTGACACTCCGACCAAATTGCGAAAACAAAGTCGAACCAACACTAGAAAGATTAGGGAGGCGATTCAAATCAACAAAACAGCCAACACCTTGAATAGAAGGAATTAGTGCAGGAAATTAAGTGGAATCTACCTGTGGCTGTTGGATAGTATTAGAGAGGGAGGGGAATGAGAAGTACATGCGAAGAAACTAGGCACATACACATACAGAGACAGACACACTCACAGGCATCGAAGTTGAAATATGACCTTAAATAACAAAACCACTTTATACTTGATCAAAGAGGACAGATGTAGAATATATATACCAATTTTTAGGGATTTTCCGGTGGGTTTTCTTGACTCGTTAGCCTGAATTGTGCTGTGACGATGATACCTTGCTCTGATTATGTTCGTCATATGACGGACGAAAGTTCAGCAACGATTCATCGGAGTCGCAGGGCGGTGGGCCGAGGACGTATTCACACAAATCTACAGGCACAGCTGCATGGCAGTCCCCCCCTGCTGTCGGTGGAACCAACTTACGAATCCCTTCCACTCGTCTCTTTAAACGAAATGAAAAATACTCCAACAACAATCTATTAAGGGAGTGTTAGAAACCTAATTTTGCTGCATAAAAGAGCGAGTTCTTGTGATCGTTGACACTACTTATTGGACTACTTATCGTACCCGTCTTACTCCCTGTCGGCTGGGCAAGCAAGAGTTGACAAGTGGCATTTGGAAGTCTGCGAAGATGGAAGGCCTCTTGAGCCATTGCCGAAGCACCGGTGCATTCAAGGCTTGCCGATTTGCCACGGACCAGATAGGCGCCGATGAACGGTGAGAATATGACAAGGCTGGGCCGGCTCACTAAAAGGCAACGGAAAACCTCCTCGGGACCCGGTGGCTGTGAAGCGGCGGCGGTAGTTTCCGGCAACAGACGGCCACTGGACGAGATTGCTCCCAGCTTTCGGGCCGTCAAGGTCTGCTGGGCGTGTGTGCGCAGAACCAGACCCCCATTCAGGTGGTCATTTGTCAAACAAAGGATTTCGAATAGCGAGTCAGGATCCCTGATGTTCACAAGTGCAGGATAGGCCAAAGGTACATGTATTGTGTGTGTGTGTGTGTGCATGTGAGTTCAAGTTGGGTGATTAATTTTTGCGTGTGTGGATGCATGTTGGCAAATAAGAAACATAACATAATTCGATTTCG